GGAAGAGGAAGAGGAAGAGGAAGAGGAAGAGGAAGGAAGGAAGGAAGGAAGGAAGGAAGGAAGGAAGGAAGGAAGGAAGGAAGGAAGGAAAAAAAAACATTGATTCATGAGAAGGAAAGGGATTTGGGGGCCAAATTGTCAACAGCCATTCAAAAAACCTCAGTTAAACTGTTTGATTAGGGAGAAAGCTTTTGGCTTTGTCTTCTAGTTTTTAATTGGCTGCCCAAAGACCTTTTATGATGCTGGACCATCTTAATGCAGCTGAAACCTCTTAGCCAACCTATTATTTTCTTATTTGGCTATACAGACTTGAAAAAGCTAATATTAATCTGCTAGTTACGCATGGTTCTGGAATTCTTAACAAACTCTTCTGGCCTGGAAAACAACTGCAATTAGGTGGTGTGGAATCTATGTACAGCAGCATTACTCAGTCAACGTCTGGAGAGAGTCAGACTTTAATTTCATGCTCTGGAGTTATCTTTGGTCACACAGATGCATATCATGCAGTTCTTCCTAGCATACCAATCCTGGCCAAGCTTCCTTGCAATATAATGGATATTTATAGAGGCACCATATCTCAATGAGTATTAGTCATCAAGTTTTTGGGGCCTGGATTACTGGCAGAGATCTAACAGGAGGAGTGGTAGAAAAAAGAAAGGATTTTCAGTAAATCAACAAGGGTTTCTCAGCTGCCCAACAATAGTATCAAATCTTTTATTCTTAAAAAAGATGTTGCTGAAAAATAATGCTTGGAGAAAAGGGAATGGATTTTTGTGCGGAAGCACTTGAAATTCTGCTATAAACCCACCTGAACCAGTATTTGTTTCCTGAGTCTTACTGATGATTCTTGGGATTCTTGTAAAACTTTAAGTTATTCCTGCCAACCCATTCTCATCCGAGGTCCATTGGTGGTAGAACATCATGGCAAGATGGAGACCAACTTTGCTTTTGCTATTAGCCTTAAAAGATGCAGCTGCAAAGAGCTATTTTGCCCCTCCTGCCAGAGAGAATGCTCTGCTCCTACTGATAGCTGCCCATTGAGGGGACAGCTGAAAGATAGCACGTTAGTGAGAGGACCAAAACCACCAATTGCTGTTCCTTGCAAGCAAAAGAAGATCAGCTTAAGATGGATATAAATGCCACTTTTTTCTGGCTATGAAACATGGGCCTCCTTCTCTCTCTCCCTTTCCCTTAGATGCCGTATCTCTAGAACGTGAGCCAAATTTTAATTGATGTGAGCTGCTCTGGGAAGCAGAAACACTATAAAAAGCAGGAATCTTAAAAAATGCAGCAAATGAATGACTCAGTCAACCAAACCATAGACTGACTGGCATTTTTCCTTTAGGAGTCCCGGCTTACCTTTGCTTTGGCCCGGAAAAAGGGGTAGCTGACATTGCAAATTTTGCTGTTTGAATGTTTCTCCTCAGACATACATTCTATGTTAACGTCCAGGTCATCCTGAAATGAAAGGGAAAGGATGCAGATTGCAAGTTGTAGCTCATTCTGTAACTTTACATGCAATTACAGTACAGTAATAGATCAATACAATCTAATGCTTACTCACAGCACAAGTGACCAGATTCAAAATATCATAATTTGAACACATTATGGGATGACCTAGCTCTCTTGAGAAGAATATAACACTGGGAAAGAGAAAAAGGGATTGATCAGTAGCAAGATGGATGAATTACAGTAATGATGGGTGCACCATTGGAACAATCCAGGAGAGGTGTCTTTCTCTTGACACAATGTTTTCCGTTCATGCCAAAGAAGAGGGTGCACAGCACATCTGTTGACTCTAGAAGTTCATATAGCCCCTGAAACCTTTGAGTGCTGCCTATGCAACCCATCCAAAAATCACTGCCAAACTGAAAGATTAATGTGGTGGAAATGGGAAATTATCTATAGCATGTAATCACAGTAAGTAAAGTCTTCTTTAAATCAATCTTGATTCCAGGTGCCATCTACAAATGTTTCTTGGTAGCAATACTGGCTTGGTATAGATTTCTTCCAGAATGTTCTCTCAGCATTCCAATCTCAGCTGCAATCTTAAAACTTCCTGGTAGTACTATTCAAGTCCAACACAGTTTTTCTTAGATCCACCCAGTTAGACAAGGACTACTATTGACCTCATGTCTATGTGATTTCCATAGTGCCAATATGGAAGTGGTTTGTTTTTTTACATAATGTTTTTCAGTTTCCCAATTTAGTCTAGAGCCCTAAGATTTCCCAGAAGTCTCCTACCCAGGTTTCACCGTGCAGAGCTTTTTGAGATTGACCAAAATTGTTTAGGCGCTATCCCCTAGATGAGCAATCACACCAACTGCCTTTAATTAATTCGATTTGGATAAATATGAAATCTAAATTTCAAAAAAAAATAGTTTTTTGTCCAGATTCCACTCCTTTTTCAGGAAGAAATCTCTCTGGGATGTCCCTCAGAGACCAAGGCTAGCTTTGCGACCTTCCAGAGAATGCCCACCCAGATAACTGGGCTCATCTGATGCAGAAGAATTTGCTTTCAAAATTCTTTCAAATGAGAAATTCCAATGAATGCTCGCTAATGGGGGACCTCCACTTATTTAATAATGAGGGGCCACAGGAAGTGTGTGAATGTCAAGTCTTCCATTGTACAAAGCTCTCTCTGTGCTGTGCAAGTTCCTGGACTTTCCACACTTCCAGTCACTCCCAAGGGAACACCTAAGGAGGGTACTCTTCCCAGGGGCTTTTTTGTCCCTTTAACCACTAAGAGAGGGTCCTACCTGAAGCCATCAAACTTTGTAGTACGTTGACTCTTAAAATGATATATGAATTTGCGTGAACCCATCATGAGTAAAACCAATTTCTTTATATACATACATACATACATACATACATACATACATACATACATTTTATTAAGAATTTTGATTATAATACTAAAATCTAAGACAAACTAAACTTCAAGAAAGAAAAGAGAAAGAAAGGACAAAAAGTGCAAGGAAAAACAAAAGGAGTGAAGAAAGAAAAAAGTAAGAATATAATAAAGAAAGAGAAAAGAAATATATAAAGAAGTGACTTCCAACCTACATTACAACAAGCATAAACCAATTTAGTGACTCTTCACCCCCTCTAAGGTTACAAACAATTATCTCTTCTTCCCATATCCCATCCCTAATCTATAGGCAAATCCATAAAGCATCATCTTTTCAGTCCTGGTGTCAGCAGAAAGTCCATAAATTATTTATGGATTATTTATTTATATATCAAATTTATATCACTGCGCAACTCCCCCACAAGGAGGGACTCTGGGCGGTTCACAACAAAACAATTTAAAATCAGTAAA